CCCCAAAACCCCAAAACCCCAAAACCCCAAAACCCCAATTTTAAAAATTCAAATTGAAATTTTAAGATGTCAGATTTAGACGATTTGCTTGATGATTTGGAAGAGAAGAGAGGCATTACCACACAGAAAGGTGAGTTAAATAAATTTTATTCATATAAACTGCCCCAATAGTGGACTCATTAATCGGTTTAATCAATTAGCCGCTAAATTTTGACCGAAGGAGAAAAATTGGTGCATTTTATGTAGAATAGTTTACCATGCTGCAATTTATATCATTATTCTCTAAAGCAACCTGATAGCTACTAGGTCAAAGGTTTCTGCACCCATTGCCTTGAAATCTCTTGAAATTTTTACTTAATTTTTCTCTAGATGCAAGAAATGATGATATCTGGGGTATTGGCCAAGATAATGAATCTCCATTAGGAAACACTTATGGATCAAGGAGCAAGCAAGCTAGTAGCCAGAAGCCGCCAGGCTCTGGAGTTGCTGATCCCTGGTCGGTTAAGAAGAAGTCTCCTATCCTAGATGACGACTTCGATTTTGAAGAGCCTGACAAAAACTCTGTTTTTGACAGAGGCAGCCAGGATGGTCCAATGCATATGCCTACCTTTGGAGGAATGGCTGGAGGAAATTTAGGAGGCAGCACATATTCAAGAGGATCACAAAGATCTAAATCAAAGAATAAGGATGAACAGGAAGACGAATTTGATAATTTATTAGACTCTGTACTTGGCAAGGATGACCAAGTTGAAATTGATCAACCTTCTATAAAAGATGAAATAGAAGAATTGCTTGATGAGCCTGAGAGAGGAAGAAGACCAAGACCTGGAAATGAGAGGTCAAGTAGACAAGAAGCTTCAAAGCATTCTTCTCAGATGGGATTTGATACAAACCCTTTAAATCCAAGTCCTAAAAAGAGCCATCTTGATGAGAAAAAGAGAGCATTATTTGGATTATCAGGAAGCTCAGAAGGGAGAAGTAGAGCCCCAAAAATAAATTTTGGGCCAAGATCTCAAGTTTCTCCTGATGATGGAGATAGAAGGATAGACAACTATCAAACTAATTCATCCCAAGGCAATGTTCCAGGTGGAAATGCTAGTGTGATAGACTCTTCTCCGATTGGAGTTCTTACTACAGGAAAATCAAGAAGAACAGCTGCTAGGAGAACTCCTGGAGGAATAGGTAGTTCTTCTGGTCCAAAACAGAATAATAGATCTAAAACAACAGATCTTGCAAACAACAGAAGTGGAGCAAATAATTTTGGAGGAAATATGGAAGCTCCCATGTTTTATCAAAATGATGCTTCTTCTCCTAAGAAGCCTCCAAGACCATCAAGTCAAACTCCTCCTTATCTTGTAGATGACGATGACGATGATTTTGATAGAGATGATGGTCAAGATATCCTAGCAATGATGGAGGCCCCAAATCCATTGAAGAATAAAGCCAAGCAGAACATTACTCCCTCAAAATCCAAGAAGCCTCAGATCGGCCATGAAGACTTTGATGACGATATCTTCTCAGGTGAAGGGGGATATGTACCTTCAACTGTTTCAAAAAACAAGCAAGATGACTCTAAAAGCAGAGGAAAAAGTGATGCTTCAGATGAAAATACTCCATTAGCTAGGGGAAGAAAGAGATTGCTACCTGCAGGAAGTGCTACTGGTATTCAAAAAGACAGCAGAGACTCTTTCTCTCCTCCTGATGCTCCTGATCCAAACTATGCCTCGAATCCAAATATTCGTAACCAGGTTCATAAGGGTCAGAACATGATTGGTTCCGGAACTATTGGGCTGAAATCTTCTATTGGAGTTATTCCTGTAAATAAATCCTCGAGACCAACTAATAAAGACACACGTGAGAAATCAGTACCTCTTGACGACTTGAGCAGGGCAAAACTAGATCTTGAAGAAGCAAGAACCAGAACACTTGAGATGGAGAAAAGAATGAAGAAAGAAATTGAAGACTTAAAGTTAGAACAGAAGAAAGATATCCTCAACCTAGAATCACATTATAACAAGATGTTAGACACACACAACAGAGAAATCAAGAATTTATCAGATGACATGTACCTCAGCATCAAGCAAGAGAGGGAGAAACTTGAAATGATTAACAAAACAGAGCTTGAGAATCGGAAGAAGCAGCATGAAATAGAGCTTTTAAGACAAAAAGATGTCTACGCAGATCAAAACTCTGCATTTGAAAATCAACTTAAACAACAGATTGAACTGAACAAGATGCTTGATCAGGTGAAGACCTCCTCAAATAACATTGAGACAACCCTCTCTCACCTCTCTGAGGATAAAACTCGAGGTCTTCTGCTACAAATAGATGAGTGTGATAAACGAGAGCGTGAACTTGCAGATAAGCTTAAGAACATTGAATACGAGACCAGTGAGACTGAGAAGAGACTTTTAAACACTGAGAAGGAAATTCAGAACTTCAGGACCAAAACAGAAGTTCTCAAGCAAGACCAAGGAAAGGATGTACAAACCAACCAAGAAAATTTACGACAGGAGGAAGTCCACTACAAACGAATTGTTGATGAAACCGAACTAAAACAGCAGGAAGCAGAGATTAATCTTCAAAGAATCAACAATGAAATCCAGCAAAAGCAAGCTGAATATGATGATAAAATCAATTCATTAGAACTTGAACGAAAGATAGTTGTAGCTGACCGCCAGAACTTATTCGAACTTATACAAATGGAGAGGAGCACTCAGGAAAGGAAAATAGGAGATCTGGAGCAACTAGACCAAGAAATCACTCAAGAAGAACTTGATTATGAGCAGAGAAGAGCTGAGTATGCCCAGAAAGAAGAAGTTATCAATGAAAAGTACAACCAAATTAAAGCTAGAACTGAAGTGTACGAAGAAGACAAGGAGAAATTTGACGACGAAGCCATGAAAGTCCACCAGTACTGATTAATGGTACAGCAAGAATCAGAAAGAATAGCTAACTTCAAATCTAATTTTGAGTCTATGAGGAAAGAACTAGAGCAATCTAGAGATATTGTAGCAAGAGAAAAAGCAGTTATTAAAACAGAGAAAATGAGACATATGGAGATGGTGGGAGAATTAGAAACAAAACAAAGAGCATTAGAACTTGCCAGATCAGAATTTATCAAAGAAAGAAGCGATATTGCTCAGCAAATGTGGGCTATAAAAAGACCCCTTGAGTATAAAGTGGAATTAAAGCCACCACAAATGAAGCTATTTAATCCTAAAGTATTTATCTTTCTAATATTTAGGATGCTAATTTACCTTCAGCCCCACCTTCGGCTCCAAACTTTGTCCCTAAAATAAGGACAAAACCGATGTCAGATTACAGAAGAACTAAGGTTCAAAATACTGATTTCCAGTTGTTCTTACTGAAAGAGAAAGAGTATCAGCTGAATGTGATGAACAATCTAAATCTTACAGATAGCATACATGGTTCAGTCAGAAATTCAAACCTAGATGGCTCAGGTATCAGCTCTGTTGACTCACCTGGACTCTTCTTCAACACTGATAAAAAGTTTAGAGGTTGAGACTCCTTTGGAAGTGGGACATCGGGGTCCCTGAATTACATGAGCAAGAACCTCAATGTTTAGCTAATTTTTCAATAAATGGATAGGTCGAAGGGGTTTTGGGGTTTTGGGGTTTTGGGGTTTTGGGGTTTTGGGG